GGGTCGTTTGGCTGAAGCGGCGCGGGGTCGGCGGCAGTTGCCAGCCAGCGGGCATGAGTAACCGGGATGCAGCGCCTCATCCAACGGCGGCGGTGGCACAGAGGTAAGAGTCTAGGTTCATGGGCACACGATGAAGGTTCGGATCCCGAGAGTGTGGTTTGTTTTGCATTCCGTGGAGGACGTCCTACGACTATGATAAGCACTTCAAGCGTTGATGTGACCACATTTTTCAACTGGGGCTGGGCGATCAGTGTGATATACATCTTATAGTTATGGAATACATTTCTTCAATCAATACCACGATTAATAATCGCTATGCAAAAAAATGACTCCTTCACCTCATGAGCAAATATGATACCCTAATACAAAGTGGTCAAAACAGAGAAGTTGCTCACAATGAGAACAACGAAATAAAAAGCCTCTAGACATTGATCCGGAACAATTTGATCTATTCCCATAAGATGTAGATCACACTGATCACCCAGCCCCAGTTGAAAAATGTGGTCACATCAACGCTTGAAGTGCTTATCATAGTCGTAGGACGTCCTCCACGGAATGCAAAACAAACCACACTCTCGGGATCCGAACCTTCATCGTGTGCCCATGAACCTAGACTCTACCTCAATCCGCAACATGATCGTCCTACAGGCATGTTTCGATGCCGCAGTTTCGAGAGGAACCTTGGCGGCGTATAAGAAAGTCAGGAAGGATTTCATGGAGTTCCTTCAGAAGTCTAACGTTCCGGCGTCGGCGATTCATAAACTTAGAAACCTGTACTTGGCATCTCTCATCGATAAGGGGAGATTGAAGGCTCTGGAAGTACATGCTGCAGCGTTAGGGCACTTCTTCGGTCCGCTTCCTGAGGTGGATCAGGATATACAGAGGGCTCTTTTGAGATCGGCTGCAAGGGTTCGCCCCCCAGTGGTGCACAGGACTAAAGCTTCGCCTGAGGACGTAAGTTTAATAATCGATTGGGCCCTCGAAGTAGGGTCCGATACGGCTATTAAATCTGCGTCAATGGTTCTCCTCATGTACGTCGCGTTTTTGAGAGTCAGCGAAGTCTGCAGTTTACGTTGCGGAGATTTCAGCGCTAAGGGCGATAATGTGTGGTGGCTGTTTTTGAGTAGATCTAAGGTCGACCAAGTGGGGGTCGGAACGCAGATTGCGTTTCGCTTGCGGGGGAAGCAAATTGCGTTGTGGGACCGCTTCCAGCAACTTAATCTCATGCGCAGGGCAGGAGAATTCCTTTTCAGCACCATTAACGGGTTCGCCTCCCTCTAGGGATCTCATCGCCTAGGAAGGTTAAGCAGGTTATTTTAGACGCAGGTTTAGCGCACCGGCATCTGACTCACATTCCTTCAGAGGTGGGGCGGCTACTGCAGCCATCAGAGCGGGGGTCGCACCGGATAACGTCATGAGAGTGGGTAGGTGGAAAACCCATAAGGCGTTCTTTTGCTATGTAGAACCTACCCCTATAGACTCCTGAGTCTATCCCTTACTATATAATCTTCCTTCCTTCTTCATTTTTTCCCATCTATTTTTCAGTGGTTTTAGATCGATTACATTCCGACGGACCGCCTCAGCTCCAATTCTGGGTTTTGCATTGGTGCTCTTGCCCTCATTATATAGTTATTGCATTCGTACTAGGTTAGCCTGAGTGAAGGCATGTTTATATAGATTATGTGCAAATTGTATTTAATGTACTGACGGTGACTCTTCACTAGTAATTTATTTAATGCTGACAGTAAGATACCTTTTACTCAGTCTTTGAGCCTTAATTCATTTGCTGCAAGCAGCATTTTGTTTTGTTCGTGTTTAGTGACATCACACGATTTATTAGTTTCGCTGTACATATATAATAATTCAAGGTGTTTCATATTGTATTAGTGATGTCGTTGTTTTCATGTGAATGGTTCAGCCCAGTGGCTTAATATATAATATTTAATAATGAAGCCGAAATAAAGCCTTCACACCGCCGTCCTGTAGAAATTCAAAACTTAGGTTTTGCCGTAGTTTATCGGAGGTAAAAAGCTCTCCTTTGTGCATCAATTGCGATTACTCGAATCGACGAACATATCACACACAGCCTGCAGTCCCGAGTGATATTTTTCTGCGTCTAAGTCAACAAAGCTAGCGCAGACGTAGAATGAACGTGCCAGCCCTGCGACGTCAACTTTTACACCACTTTTACAACCACCTTGCGTAGCCGTATTCCCATCAGGCCTCACGCCTAATTTTAATGATGTGCGGGTGCTTTTTCTTTCCTGTACCTCCATTTGCTCTGTTTTCGCCTTTTTCACTCGCACCATGTTGTAATATGCCATTCACTTCGACTGTGCACTGCCATACCCTCAAGAAGTGCGATAGTACCTAATTGATATGTTCTGCCCGTAACAAAATGAAATGAACGCCAAGCGCACAGGATTAAGATTCGATCTCATAGTATACTCAACAATAATCAGTACAGCACACACGAGCGAATGTAACTAAGGCGAACAAATGAGAAACATGCGGTATAAATCGGCGAAAATGTCAGGGACGTTTACCCCGAAAGTGATAAACCGGTACTGATTATGATCGACTCATAGAAGGCAGTCTCTCAGTCGGTAGGAGCCAGTCTCGACGTGACAAACTACACCATTGAGATATATTTTATTGCATCCGAGATTCACCCTACTGAGACTGGGCACAGTCAAAGTCACATCACAGAAAACATTCCTTGCCTAATGACTGCCATTTTCGTGTTCAACGGCTCGAACTACTTCTGAAAGCATACTTCCAGTCAATTCTGAGATATTTGTCCCAGTGCTTCGAACTAAATTTGGATATGTTTTATGAGTTGGCCTGTGGGGCCTGCTGGGCTGCCGGCTGGGACTTCAAGGATTTTCCTTAGCAGTAGACTTAATCTTGCAACCAGAATCCAGCTTTTCTGCGCCGCGTTTCCGACTCGTTTTCGCAGAAAAAGAAAAGCTTATCGAAGCTTGCAAGTAATGGTTCTCATAAGCTTTTTCACCACTTGAAATATGTTGTGAACAGTTCGTGTCGAGGTGTCAACTCCCCTTTTGTAGACGACAAAATCCTCAATTCATAATCTAAGAGCTTCAACTTCATTTTAAAATAAATTACGTGTTTCACGTTCTTATGGCCGTTTATTGCTCCTGGCAAACAGCAAAATGTGACTCGTCCCCTTCTGACCACTCCTATCCATAACCGACTAGTCCTGGCAATTTGATTCTAATAATCAGAAAATGATGCAGATGCCAACACGCGAGGAAGACATCGCTCTCCAAAAGGACGCACTTCTGAAAGTTTTTTCCGGTTCCAAGAGTGCTCGATGACGAGCCTGCTCGAAGACCCAAGAGACCGTTGCCCATCTATGATGACACTTTGTGGATATCTGCCAAACTCACAAAGTTTTATTTGGAAATTCTGTCATCGTCGGATATTGGTCCCTGAGCGCATGCTTGCGTCCTAGCCTTCATTCAAGTGTTGGTCATCATAATTGCCCTTGTTGAATGAGAGTGATATTCTACACAAAATGCTTGCGGCGTCTTCCTATCCTTGAATTATCCCATACCACGGATCTGACCGCCTACGTCTTTCACCTCAAAAAGACACTGATAAAACTCCTCACATTATGTTCGGCAAGTCATCTCGCAAACTTCGCAAGCAAGATTGAGTTTAGCGTCTCAATGCGAGTACATTGATGTATAATTTATTGCAAAGGACCAGCTGACCTTTCCTAGTCAATCATAAAACACTCGAAAATTATTAAAATTAGGCGTGAGCTGAGGAGTACGGTACGCAAAGTGGTGTAAAAGTGGTGTAAAATTGCGTCGCAGCATTTCATTCCTACGGCTGCGTAGCTTTACTCTTCGCGTTCTTCACGTCAAATAACGTTGAGTTTTCAAATAAATCAACTAAATCTCATGAAATAAGTCCAAGGATAGATGGCACGACAGTGATGGGATAATGAGAGAATAAGCGCTTCTAAAAGAAAAAAAAAACAGAAAATAGAGCCCTCGCTCAGCATCTTGCTCTAAACTCAACGCAGTGGAAGGAAAACAATTGAAAAATGCAGGAATTGAAGAATAGGTGGTGAGAACAGTTCGTTTCACCTCTCAAGTAGTTCATGAAACGCCGAGCAATCAGTCATTCAGAAATGATTTACCCCCCCCCCCCTCCGGCCTAGTTCTAACGTGAAAATCTGAAAGAAATCATAAAGAAACAATATGAAATAGAAGGTTCAGAAAGGGCTGCTTTTAAATCAACTACGAAAAAAGAATAAATATGTTGGAAACAATTCAAAAGCTTCTCCTCAGGGAGAAAACTTTTTACGAACTTTTGCAAGAAAACACGCAATCACATAGCATCGCCAATTCCACCCAGTGAAATAGCGCTCGAAATATCAATTTGGATTCTAATATAGCATGTTTCACAACACAACTGAATAAAAAAATACTCAAGCTTTCAAGTACCAAAAATTGTCGGAAAAAATCCAACCCTAACGGTTCGTCCTGCATCTGAACACGTCAAGACAACCGGTACATGTCAAACATGTAAACAAGCAGTACTTGTCAAACATGTAAATAAGCAGTAGATGTCATAGATGTGAACTAGTTTCTACAAGTCCATTGTTTTCCTGTCAACTTTGACAAGTTTAACAGGAACAGACATGTTAGAATTCACAAACGAAAACGCCCGTAACCAAAGGGACAAACTTTGGTCGCCGTCGCCGTCGTCCAACAACATTTAAAATAGGAATGTTCATGTATACGTTCAAAACCTATCCGGGCCACGCTTGCGATGGCCAGAGCGACGCCGCGCACGAAGCCACGCCCTCTTTTACACGAGTTCACTGGGGCTACGAACCAATTCGAAGATGTCGAGGCACGCGTTTTTCTCAATGTTGCTTGTATTTCTGTTTCATTTTAGCTAATTCTTCTTCCGTTACAATATATTAATGACGAAATTGCGGTGTTCCAGGTATCCTAACTGATATGAGTGGTGGTGTCTACGGTGGAGGTGAGTTATCAGTTGGAGTCCTATTTACGAAAATGCTTCCTCAATCCAATCATTCCATTTTAGTTCTTTGAAGTTCTTTTTTTCTATGTATCTTCTTGACTATTTATCTATTTTTGATGAAATCACTTTTTAGACGAAGTCAGTGGTGTGGTATTCGATGCAGGCTCGCATAGCCTACGTGTCGGCTTCGCTGGGGAGGAATATCCAAAGGTTTTTCTTTTCAAGTTCTTCCTGGCTTTATTTCAGTTTACCGGGCTATTTATTATGTATGTCAAGGCATTTGAGACTACTTTTCAACCGATCTTTTACTTTTATTGAGTTTACACTCTCGAGAAGCCTCACAATATCCGAATGATTAATAATATGTGTTCCAAACTTCATTAAAAAGAGAACACTAAAATATCAGAGCTTTTAAAAATAGTCTTTCTGAATAATTTTGAGATCTCCTTAGGATGTTTGTGTCTTTTGAGTTTTTGGTGTGTTTGGAGTTTTTGCGGATAATAGGTGGGGGACTCTGAATTTTTGTTAAGTATTTTAGGCACTGTCGCACTATCACTACCGCAAAAACCCATTGTTTCGCTGAAGCTCAGCCCACAGGAACTATTCAGTGCATTGACCATGGACATAATAATCGTTTTTGGCGCCTGCGCCATTTTGCGTATCTCCACATTCCTACCAAAATAATGAAAACTTGTGTGGTTGCTTCTTCTTGTTTCTTTTTTCTTCGACATCTTCCAGCACGGATATGGCACTTCATTTTTAGCGCGGCGGTTTAATGTAAAAGACACCCTGATCTCGTCGGCCGATCTGCTAAGGCTGAGCCTTGCAGTGAACACTCTTCCGCCGGCAGAGCGTTCGACTGCGTTGGTGTCAAAAAGTGAATTGGGTCCGCAAAATCGGGACCATTTGGTGCGAAATAGTGGCAGAGTCAAAATTGAATGTCATATTCGTGATCAGAGCACCAAACAACATCAGTAGGCAGAGTTTCAGTATGATTTTTCTGTTTTCGGTGTCGGTATAGTGGGATAGTGTCACATTTGCTGTTGAAGGTAGCCTTTTTACCCACTACAAAGCTTTTTTATTTACTGCTTAACTAAATGGTGATTGAAATTCTTATGTATATCTTAATTGTGGTTGTTTTCAAAAGGTTGCACTAGTTTCGATTCCGTGTGAACGCAGGCTGGCCCGGCGCATCCTGGTAACTTTAAAAACTTCTCTTGGTTAAGGTCCTAAGTAATTTTAGGCGCTGACTCACACAATTATGGCTCAATTATTGGTACTGCCACTGCGCGCTGATAGGTACCTGACATGTTTAGCGCAGTTGTAGGGGCGCCAAAATTCATTCCAGAGGACAAAATAAGCCAAAAGGTTTTGAAACGTTTCAAGTTATTTATCTAGCAGTATTTTTTTCGGTGCTCAGACCCTAGTCAGGCATGGAATGGTAACGTCTGTAGTTCTGAGTTACGAGTACAGGCGGGGAAAAGAAGATCATTTCTGACCTCCAATCCCCCCGCACTCTTCACTAAGGCGCTATAAGTTACACTTTATTAAATTTTTATCGGATTTTTACTACCATATTAAAGAGCACATTAAATACTATAATGATACTCCGCCACAGCCTTCTGGAGGAGCGCCATCGAGAGATTCGGCCGCGCGAAAGTGAGTGGGTACCGGAGTTGAGCGAGATCGTTGATTTCTCCGCCACTGTAGACCACCCTGTTGAGCTCCGCCCGAACTAGGTAATTGAGTGGGTTCAGGTCAGGGGACATATTTCAATATTACATCTTCATCAGGTACGAAACGCCCTTCCATTCGAAGTAGGCGGGAGTTTTTCCAAAACCCTTCGATTCCATGTGGTGGCACCCAAACCTGTAGCAGCACAAGGTCTCCAAGAAGGTACGGGCGACCACATGTAGGGAGGATATCCTTCTCGAGTTACTTGATGTAACCGCCAGCGCTCACCTTCAGTCGGGGTCTACAAAGAAAATATCGGTCTTCCATTCCAGAGGAGGTGATCCACACCAATCGACGCGCCCTTGGTGAATGGGAGGAAGATGCATGTCGCTGACCGTAGGGAAGTTTGACGAAAGCTTTGCTCGATGTGGGAGGGTCTTGCAGATCCAAGCAGTAGCTGACTCAGTAGCTAATCTGGTGGATGACTTATTAAGAAGTTTCGCAGCTGTTTGGAGGCGACTGATGAAATTCCCAAAGGTGTTCTCACTCAAGGCTGAAGATGATTCATATTTTGCGTGTACGATGAGGTGAATGGCGGCAGCCGGCTCCTGCTTATAGAGGAAGATCTTGGGTATCTTCCGCCCTGGTACTCATATCCACTTCCTCTGTCTGGGCTGCGAAAACTTCGCTCATATGTGACTCGGCCGGAATGACTTTTTTTTGCCCCCCCCCCTGTATATTGAAATGGTTCACGCGGACTGGTACCCGAGTCAATATACTTACCCTTCAGGCACGCAATGTAGGGTAAGTATGTAGGTTGGATGATAGTCCGTGAGGGTAGACTAATGTACTCGTTACATAAGCTTACTAATTACAAGCTATCCTTCCAGGTCTTAAAGGTGCTAAATATCGCGAAATATCGCGGCATTAATAAATTTGGAATACTAGGGACACTTTTTTCCTCTTGCCTAGTTCCTTTACGCCTTCCGAAATTAAATCTGAAGCTCTACACTGTTGCTTAAAATTCAGCTAAAGGAAACTATTGTGCGCGGTATTTTGGAATGGCGCCTTTTTTAGCGCTGAGCTGATATCGGACCTTTCGAGTTTCAGGGCGATATTCCTTCCTACGTAGCTGTTCAAGAAGTTGAAGCGGATGAAGACGTGGAAATGAAAGAAGGTGCAGAACCGACCAATGTAAAGAAGAAGCGAAATATGTTCATTGGAACAACGAAAATCGTCGTTCCAAGGCCGAATACAACTATTCAAAGCTTCATGAAGGATGGCATGAGTGAGTGGCTTCAGTGTCGCTTCCAACAATTGACTTTAGAACGAGTTCTTCATTACAGTTGAGGATTGGGAAATGTTCGAGAATCTTTTGGATTATTCTTACAATGAGGTTCTTCATAGTGAAACGCAATATCATCCTGCTTTGTTTACTGAGAGTGCGGTGAGTTTTTTTCCCCATGTCTAAGTCAAAACTCCACTTCTATCGATTACCTTTCTAGTCATTCGTTCGGCTATTTATATTGGCCTAAGTCGGCTCAGGAGGGATTGGGTGGAGGGGCTGATGCCGTTTGGACGCGCTGATTTTTGGCTGCGAGCTCATTTTTAAAGTGTCCAGATCACCAAATCCGCTGAAAACTTGTATGTAGGGGTAATCTAACATCCTGTCCATAAATATGACATTCATTCATTCCTGGCGCTGGCGCTAATGGAGGACACTACGATTGTCTTCTGGAATCAGCTTTAGCAGAGGGCAGATAATCGTAGTGTTCTCCATTAGCGCCAGCGCCAAGAATGAATGTCATAGTAGATCAGGATGTTAGATTACCTCTATATACAAGTTTTGCCGTTTGGACGCGCTGACTTTCGGCTGCGAGCTCATTTCAAAGTGCCTAAATCACCAAATCCACAGCCGGGTGGAGGAGGGCTCTTGAAGGACTCAATTTGCAAAAGTGAGCTTACCTCGGTGGAGTGGAAGTTTTTGCAAGAGCTCGAGGAGGAAAGAACCCTTGCAATCTTGCGTTGTGGACGCTGGACGGGTCAGGTGGCTGGGTTTGGCGCGGCACCAGCTTGCTTTCCATCAATCGCTTACCCTCAGCTGCTGGTGAAGAACGGTTTGGTGCAGCGACGTGCCCAGCTTCCCCCCCCCTCCTCTATACGGATTCTCTCCGCCCCAGCATCCGCGCATCCGCAGAGAACAATACTGTAGATTAGCGAACCAGTTCATCTGTACAAAAAGTGGTTGCTTGTTATGGTAATCACAATTTAGCACAGGAATTCGTTTATATGTATTTTCTTTAGCCAATATGTCTTATCTATGCGATTTTCAGTGGAATGATAAAACAAAGCGAGAACGTTTGACGGAGCTAGTGTTCGAGAAGTACAACATCCCAGCATTCTTTTTATGCAAGAATGCTGTGCTAACAGCGTGAGTCATTTCATTATTGTGGAACTTTGAACACGTGAGAGAAGCGTGACCCGCGTCCGAAGAAACCACCACCCCGCCCACTGTTCCCGGCCACGCCTACTTTCATTTCTAAAGGTGTTCTGGTGGTGCGGTTGTTCCGCCACTAACTCTCTCCATTTCGAATGCTCAGAGAATGCATTTCGAATGAGGGGATAAGGAGAAAGTGCCGGCACAAACTAGTGACAACTTGCTCAACCTTACCCTCTCTTCGCCTTATGCACGTTCAAGCGCTGTTCGGCATGGAGTTCCATATGGGGCTTCGGGCTGTTCGGTGCTTTCTCTTCACTTCTGTGTTATTAACGATCTTGTCATGAGCATTTGTGCTGCGCAAATCAGCATTTTTGAACGCCAGCGTGCCTTCAAAGGCAACCTGACCATAAAGAACAAGAAAAAGAAGTAGCCTTCGACTGGGAGCAAGTGCTTCTTCATTGAGAGACGAATGTCACGTTACTTCACTCAGTATCTAATGGTGTTCTCAAAATTTGTGACGTCCTCGTAAACACGGCTTATTTTATGGTCCTGGTTTCCGAAATTATACATGAATCCTTTATTGGCTGCTTTCACTACGTGACAGAGTTACTAGAATACCAACGCCCAACTCTTGCCGGGGTCTATCTTTTTAGCTTCATCCATTTCATGACGGTACATCACAAGATAGTTTATACTGGAAGACCTTTTTCGTATTGCCTCTTCGTTTAGCTCGATCGGTGACTTTTCCTTTCCATTTGTTCGGATTGTTGTAATAATAAGGTTCAAGGTTTGCAAACGGTCGTGACTAGTGGTCTTTGTGGTTGAGATGGTGCAACACAAACGTCTGCCAGTATCCTGTTAACGGATGCTATTTGCTGCACATACCCCTCTATTCTTTCTTCCCTCCTCTTCTTATTTTCTCGAGTTGTTCTCACTGATGTTTGAAAATTATTTCCCTACTGGATTATTGAAAATTCAGCTGTCGTGCGATCTCCCATCGGAGGTGATGTGATCTGTGAACAGCTGCAACACATGTTGGATGAGCAGAATATAGAAGTGGTGCCGATTTATAAGATCGGTGGAAAGGTGAGCGGTCATAGAATCCATGTTGAAACTGAAAATCGAACTTGGTCTGAAATCTCACATTCCCTATTCTCCACTAAACTGCCCTGTTATACTGTTCCGTCGAATTGCCGCTAGCAGTACGTTTTGTATCTCTTGAGTGCTACAGCGTTCCTAGAAAATCATCGGATTCTCGATACAATTGTGATTCCTTAATAGATATCATTCCCTTCAGGAAGAAGTTAACGAGAATGAGCCACCTCGCTGGACCAAAAAGAAAGGTTTACCTGAGGTTACGGAAAGCTACGATAAGTTCATGAAGAAGCAAGTGAGTTAATCTGCAATGTTATCCTTCATTCGTTGAGACGAGCGCTTAGACATGTTTCTAGATCCTCGAAGACATGGCCGTTTCTGTTTCTGCAATTGTGTGATACACCTCTTGATGCTGAATACGCTGAGAAGTTGCCGTCTGCCCCATATTCTTTCCCGAACGGTTTCACCAAGGTAATGTGTCTTCCTTCAAGATAGATCTTGTCCATAATGAAGTAACCAGCGCTTGAGTTATGCCCATCCAAAGAAAAAGTAAGGCTACTTATATTGCTTTTCGCCTAGCAGGCGGTGGAGGGGGGGAGTCGCTAATCCGCCAGCTTCTTCATTTTCATAACTTCTGTGTAACTAGTAAACTCTTCGCAAGCTGAAGAGAGGTTTGAGCTTCAATATTTATCGCTGTAGTAGCTTTTCACCAAACAGCAGGTCTTGACATGGTACTCTATTCAAGCTTCGCTGAAGACTATTTCATAGCTTCACAGGGTTTACAAGTATTCTAGTCGATGGGGACTAGTGTGATGGCCCCTCCAAGTCAATCTGCGCCCAGTTATGTGCGGTCCCACTAGTTTGAGTTGTAATCGCTTCTTGTCTAACGTATCATTGTTGTAGCAGAAAATATTCAGGATCATCATCACTATCGTTAGTTTTACTTTTCGGACTCTACCCCTGAGATTTGCAATATGTGACGGTTGCACTATTCAAGAAGTCAAGGCATGTCGGGCGGCATGGTTTTGGCGCGGCGTCAAACCCGTTTTTTACCAGTAGGTGACCGAACGTTGGAACAAAATTCCATACACTCCTGTAAAAGAATTTCTATCCAAGTCTGACCTGAATTTCGAAGAAAGTGGCAGAGTGGTGTTCACAGAGTCCTTTATTGTTGAAATCCAGATTTTAAAGTCCCAACTTCTCTAGTTCCCCTCTGTCAGTGCATTCAAGTATGAGAGATACATTTTGCAGGAGTTCCTCGCTGAACGTATAAAAGTTCCGGAGAGCCTTTTTGATCTCAAGTATCTTCGTAACATGCCAGCAACCCAGTCAACTTTACTCAACGTCACCCAAATAGCTACTACAGCAGCAGGAATGTGTGACATCGACATCCGACCGGTACAGATTTTATACTGCATCCTTGTTAAAAATACTCATTTAGTTCAAATCTCTAATATTTTTCAGACATTATACAGTGGTCTCATGGTCGCCGGTGGAAATTCCCTCATTCTTGGGTTCACTGAACGGCTCAATCATGATTTGGCGCACAAGTGCCCTCCGGTATGCTTTTTTGAAATAATTGGAAATAACATTTTGAAAAAATGAAGTCTGTCTGGGTAGCAAGAGCAATTTTGGTAAACAGTTAAATATTTCCCCGGTATTGATGAGAGCTCTCCTTCTTATGCTAAACAAATACCCTACTTTCGTTATCCGCTCCGCGTTAAAAGTTCATGCCCTGTCTTCCTATCTGTCCGTTGCTCAGCACAGTGGCGTAGGAGCCAGAGCCATGTAGTAGAGTAGATAAGGATCCTTTGATTAAACATTCCAGGGCAGATCATTGGTTGGGGATTTTCGTCGAGTCCGCACGACCCTCCCTTCTCCCCCCCACCTTTTTTTTTTATTATGAGGTTGGTACGACCTTCCCGTAGTTCCGTCCTCATGAAACTGTTTTGAGCGACAGAAGAACACGACACCTCTCTTACTGGCTTAATAGATTACTCCAGCTTCTCTACACTATTTCCCGAATATCTTTTTTCTTTTTCGGGGCTATGTATAAACAGGACAGGTAAAAACCCATGAAAGCTAGCAATCTCCTCTCAGAAAGCTTTTGAAGGGGAGTACCGATCCCCTCACCAACACAAAATACGACTCTCATCTAATACAACGTCCTGAAACTCCGACCAAAAGCAAACTATTAAAAAACTTCCTCAGCCAAAATAACGACCCCCCTCCCACGACCAAATACGAACCCTGCTGAATGTCCCAACAATGATGTGTCCCGTGAAACACGGCAAAAGATAAAGTTACTTCTGAAGAGAGGGAGGAAGTAAACCTATGAAAAAGAGTCATTTCCTATCCCGCATAAGTTCCATTTTTCTTCATCAAAGGTAAAGTCGGAGTTTGTTGAAGATTTTGTAGGATTTGATTGACGCAAAAGAATCTCGAAAGCTTCGAAGGGGGGGCAGTCTAGCTTGAGAATTATTACCACGTTCGTTAAGTATTACGAACTCGTCCAGTCGCTAGTATTAATATGTGTCTTGAGGTTTTTGGTGGAATCTTTATTTCCAACGGCCTAACGTTTCGACAGAGTCGTCTTCTTCAGAGGCCTAACGTGTTTTTCCTAGTAAACGGAAATAACACACTACCCCGTCAAGCGCCCAACCAGCGCTAGCAGTTCCGATGACGTGTTCGGAACTCTACAAGGAAATTCTACCCAATACGAAATGTGCACTCACCAACTCCACCGGTGAATCCGCCGTCCACATCGACTAGACTGCATATCACAAAAGCTGACTTAGTGAAGTGGTCAGCCCTAGGTGGAGCATCAAACCACCCCCTCCCTGCTGACCGTGCAGTTAGTAATCCACGAGTCCGCCCGCACCGTCTTACCGTTACCAGCTCGATGAACATTTGGCGCACATACGCCCTCATCACTCATATCACTTACTTAATGAGCCCGGATAGCTTAACGAAATGGCCTCAATTGCAAGCTATGGCAGCAAAAAAGTCATCTGCGAGGGTAAAAGCAGCGCCAGTGGCAGATTATCGGCAAACTCGCCGGTCAGGGCGAAGATCGATAGTAGCCCTGGCCTCACTATCGCTCATGACTTCAGCATTTATGTAATAACTTTGAAGCGCGAAACTGCTAAGTTGAAAAATTAAAACATGTCGGTATCATCACAACAACTTAGCTGTAATGTTTTTTTTTTGAATCTTTGGTCCATAACTACTTCATGGTCTACCTTATTCTGTCTTATTATATGAAAACCATGTACTTCCGTTTTTAGACGATTAAACTTCGTGTGACTGCTGCGCCCACACCGATGGAAAGGCGATTTGGTGCATGGATCGGCGGATCCATATTAGGATCTCTGGTTCGTTGGTTGAATATTTCTCAAATTACAACTGCACTTCTTTTCTTCTTAGTTAATCGACTCATTCACCTTTTCTTTCTGAGTATGCTCAATCAGTTTCGCTGGTGAAAGCATGCAAAACTTATTTCACGTGATCAAAGTTTCAAAAAAGATTTTTGAGTGGAATCGCTCCGTTCGAGCTGCTTTCCATTTTGAAATATCCTTGACTGTTTTATTTCTCTGAGATGGCGTTCATACTTTGCAAATGTAGGGGATTCGTGGTTCTAGAGAGTCAGCGACGAAGAATAATACAGTACTGTTTACTGCGAACGCTGGGGCGTTGCAGGAGGGGAGGGGGCTGGGTTTGGTGCAAAGCCAGCCAGTTTTCCACCAATTGGCGTCCCCTTACAGCTTCCCCACTTGGTTGAGAACAGGCTGGCGTTGCGCTCACCCTGCCCTCCTGCGTGCGCAGCGAGCAATACTGCATACATATCGATCTAGAGAATCCGTGGTTAGGGAGATCTCTCGATGGGAGAGAATGCGCGCTTTGCTAGTGGAAGAGTTAGTCGATACTGTGGCTGATTCTCCGGAATCGCGCATTCTTCATAACAGGGCTGCACATTCGCGGATTTTCTACATAGGCGAAGTGTGGACGCAGTATTGGTGGTAAAAGTTATCATCAAAACTGTGTTCATACTTTGCTTTGAAGAAAAGGGCACCCTATGCTGAGAAAGCGCGATTAATCCAAAAATGCTTGACTATCTTCTCGTATTTGTCCACATCTTATTGTTCTTTTGTTTCAAGGGATCCTTCCAACAAATGTGGATTGCGAAGTCGGAATATGAAGAGACTGGGCGGACAATTGTTGAAAATCGGTGCCCTTGAAGTCGCACTGGTTTGTTGTTGTTCTTCGTTTGGTTACCTTCCCGCTCCATCAAATACTTCAAGTTACCACTGACTTTTGCCGAGTAAAATTCGCTCTTGTTCCATTTCATTGTTCACTATGACACTAGCATTTTTGTTATTTATAGTCGATCTCTGTTCGATTTGAACATTTTATTTGTTTAGTTGTATATACAATCTTCGATAAACATTTGACCTCGTTGACTCTTGTGTAGGTAAGTAAACCAGTGTTAAGTGTCACATATACGTGATAGAAAACTGCTCCCAGCGTGCGTTGTACTATCTTGTTCTGCGTGAATGATGGGGCGTGTCAGGAGCCAATGGGCTTGGCGCGGCGCCGAGCCCATTCTCTACCAGTTGCTGAGCGGGTAAGCAACGACAACTGGTGGAAAGCGGCTGCAACGAATGATAAAATACAGTCTTGTCGCTTGCTCTCTTCAACAACCGGTGGAATACGGGTTTGGCGCCGCGCCAGATCCATCCCGCCTGACAGGACCTTTGATCCCCTTTGATCCGCAGCGAACAAGACTTCAAAAACCGGTGCTGAACTTTCCAGATGTGGCTTCTTTCACGGAAGGTTAAATGCGCTCCTAAAGATGAAGTGCTGTTCGTGACTTCGGAGCAGCACTCTGAACCATTATCTGAGGAATGTTCATGGATGAGCTCCCTAAGTGTGTTCAAAAAACCTATAGGTAATTTAAAAGAATCCTGGGTGCTGTCCGAGTTGGGGTGGGGCACGCTTCCGCGTCTGCTTTTTCTCTTTCCAAGAGAAATTGACATCTTGCCCAGCAGGTCCAGACCTAAAGAGCGGCACAGCGTCCGGCACTAGTCTTGCCTCTTGGCCCACCCCCGACTCTACTAGCACCGAGTCTTGAAGTGTCTACAAGCGTTTAGGGCTTACTACAGTTTTTTGAAGGCCCTAGGTTCCCGGATGGATCCATAAACTGGCAGTGTCCTTGCATGGCAGGAGGATCACTGGTTGCTCATAGGTTGGTTGCCTCTTTTAGCGTTGCATGCAAGCAGTTCAGTTTGGAATCAAAAAAGCAGTTCTTCCTAGCTGAATGTGTTTCCCGGTTGCTAGCGAATCACCCTGCGAAAAGCAGACACATCAGGAATGTCCCAAAGACAAACCCCGCGATTGCTATTGTGGATAGTGGAGCTCACTAACAAACCTGTAGTCGCTAAATAGCTCCAGGGAACAACTCAGTAATGGTTTCACTGCATCGATCGAAACTAATACCATCAAACAACGGAAAACTGGTGTAAAAACTGAACTTGTGAAAGAAGTTAGAATTTGAGATTCAGTGCGTGGAACAACTGGGGAGCCGTCAGAAATGCCACTTATGAGGGCACAGCGCCTTCGTCACTTGCTGCGAGGCCGCGAGAGTGGGTAGAACCTGGAGACTCGTGCCCACAAGACGACTTGTGCAACGGAAAGACGCCCACGAGTTGCAGGAGCGCGAGGAATGTCTTTGATTTCGGACATACCTGAAGCTATAGAATAAGGCTCTCGTCCTTGCTCATTATCCTTTTATGGTCTACATCTCCCAAATTGTGGTGGGATTCTGAATGCGATATGGCCCATAGAATGCCTTGCGTATCGGTCCCTCAGTGCAAGCTAGTGTTTTCTCTTCCCAGATATGTCTAGTCTCGCTTACGTCAAGAGGGATGGAAGGTTTGTTTGGCCCGTAAGGCAAGCCTTGAGCACGACCGTGCTGTAGTGTGTGATGCCACTGGCAACCAAGTAGCGAACTGTCGGAGACGCGTCAGCTGCGTCATTAGACGCCTGTTTGTAAAATGTCGGTTTGAAAGCTTTAACTACCTGCTTCCATTCAGCATTTGCAATGGACAGGGTGCGTTTGATGATGACATTTTTTCGACCTGGACCTTACAATGGATGTTTTCAACATTTTATGGCATGCGTAGTTATGCGCTGGCAGTACTCCTTTGCTCGTAAGGTTTAGAGCGAGTATCTGAAAGTTTGTAGCCTGCGAAGTGTTGATCAATCCTTTTGGGATGCGCCCTTGCATTCAAATTCTATTGGGTGTCTGTAGTGTATAGTCTAACAACTCACCCAGTGGTAAGTCGAGTACCGCCCACCGTTGTTTTCAATGCAGAGGCTGGTCGTGTCAGGGGAGCGGGTTTGCGTGACATCGGCCCTTTCTCCACCAGTTGTTGCTACTTGTCAGCTTCAACAACTGGTGGGAAATGTGCTGGCGGCGTACCAACTTCCCCTATCGTCTGCTGCGAAAACAGCTGTGATTATTCAGTGTTGCATCCTCTTTTTTCTGATCCCAGTACCCTTGAATGGCGCGCCAAACTCAGTCTCTGACACGCCTAACGTACGATTGTACCAACGACTATACTTATGCGGTCCAAAAGAAACAAAGTCTGTTGTTGGTTTCAGCGGGTTTTGGTACAGGGCTCAATAGGTAATAGCCTCCGCTGACACGCGAATGTATGGTTACCTAAATGTCGCCCACGATTCATAAAAGGCATAAAAGTCTGTCGCCTACGATCAATCTCCCAATCTTAAACGTGCTCCCCGTTTACGCACTTTCTCTGAAAAAGGCGTTTTTCTACGCCCATCTCTATCTAAGGATGAGAGAGTGCGATTACGTGAAGCCCGTTTGGCGAAAAAATCAGAAAATAGGTCTGTTGCTGTTAATGATTGTCATCAAAATAGTAACTCCGCCGTTTCACAAAACACTCCTTTCGAATGTTCGTTCCACAAATTCTGTCATTTGCTCACAAAACGTTTCTCTTAATGCTCATTCTGATATTGCATTGTCGAAAAACGTTTGAGTTATCCGCGGACACCTCCGTACAAGGTCAATTGTGCTTTAATCAAAAACATCAGGCTCGCTTGGTAAAAAAATGCCAGTCACTGTCAGAAACATTTAGGCGAAGCGGAAACACTCCGATTCATTATATTATGTGAAAACATGGCTAAATTCGAAAATTGATATTTCCCCGTTACTTGGGGTAGTGGCAGCACAGTATGAAATTTTCAGAACTGACAGGCTGAACAAGAGAGGAGGCGGAGTAGCCCTTTTGCTGAAACACCCCCATTCTGGTAGTATAGTGTTTGGGGAATCGGTAAAGGACGCATACGAAATACTGGCGTGCGATATTTACTTCTACTCCATGGAACTTAGGATCATAGCCTGTGTATAGAGCGCCGTCGTGTTCTTCCACAAAAAGTGAACAACTTATCAAGGCTCTCAGTGATCTGTCTTCTTGTGACAAAGTGTGCATAGTAGCAGGTGATTTCAACCTTCCTCATATGTTCAGCTCTCCTGCAGTGCTAAAATGATTCCTGTAGTACAAAATTTAGCAACATGTTTACGTCACACGGGTTTGTCCAAACCATAGATTTCCCTACAAGATACAGTTCGCTGTTGGACTTGCTACTTTGTAATGACTTCTCATTAATCCACTCAATAGCTTCCTCTCCTCCGCTAGGTACCAGTGATCACAATGTTGTTAAGTTTAGCCTTAAAGAAAGTTTTAGAGCTAACAGGCATAAAGTATGTAGAGATTACAGAAACGGGAAGTTTGAAGCTATGAGAGCATACCTAGCAGGTGTAGACTGGTTCGGATCCTTCAACAATGTAATGGGAGTTAATGAAAAGTATGAAATGTTCATAGCAATCTTACAGCACGCCATCAATATGTACATTCCTTACAAGATGGTAGTGGTAAATAAATTTCATAACCTACCTCATTATTTAGTTTCATGGGAAAGACCAGAGAGCGGTATTGGGAGAAAGCAGTCTCTTCTCAGTCATCAGTAGAATGGAAAAGGTTCCAGAACTTTAGCAAAAAGTGGGTGAAAAAACTAGGTAAGTACTATGCGTATATTGAAAAGAAAAGATTAGACAAAGGAGGTTTGAAAGCTCTATACGCCTTGCTTAGGATTTAGGCTCACAGACAAACCAGAATGTCACTCTCTGGGAGCAAAATCACATAGGGCAATTTTGGATCGAGATAAGGCTGAACTGCTAGCGGATACGTTTGAAAAGTCATTCGGATTTGAGTCTGGTACCTACGCAAGAGTCAAAATTTCCTAGGGTACATGTTAGTGATTCTGCCCCATGGTTCGACCGAAAAACAATTCTGGATATACTCCTAAAGTGGTCATCGGCATCCTCTATCAATAGCGAGAATATACCATTCATTGTCGTAAAAAATTGTATCTTCGAAATTGGCGCTCCACTTGAATTTCTATTCAACTTAAGTCTCATGCGAGGCGAAGTGCCGTGCAAATGGAAGCATTCTATTGTAATACCTCATCCTAAAAAGGAACCGTTGTCGAGTCCAAGTAATTACAGACCAGTTAGTCACACTTCAATTTTTTCCAGAGTCTTTGAGAAAGTAATCAAGCGTTACTTACTAGAGCACATCGAGAAAAATCATATTCTACCCGCCACACACACCATGGGTTTTGTAAGGGCAGGTCAACTGAAACTTCTATGCTGTCTTGCATGAATGATTGGACTAAAGCGCTAGATGCCAGAAAAAATGTTGACGTAATATATTTTGATTTTAGCAAGGCATTTGACAGACTGCCACATAGGGTCCTATTGAGCAAACTTTCTCGCTTAGGTGTCCATCCCCTAGTGGTAAACTGGGTTAAAGCTTACCTCGACAATCGAACGTTCCAAGTTCAAGTAGGGAGCACTGTCTGAGGCACGAGTCGCAACAAGCGGTGTTCCACAAGGTGCAGTTCTATCACCCGTGCTTTTCAATATGTTTACGGCTGACCTTCCTTACCTAGAGAACCTCGAAGTTACTTGCAATATTTTTGCTGACGACATCAAGATTTACATGGTGACTGGAGATGTAGATTATGAACCCTCACTGCAGCTTGCAATCAATAGGATTGTAGGTTGGGCAAAGGATAACGGGCTTCTTTTGTCTACGGAAAAAACTCAGGTCATGCGTTTGGGAGCCTCTACCCGCAAACCGGTGTATTACGT